CCACACTACCTATCAATCAGCCATTAATCCCACAGCTTGCCATACAGGGAAGATGAATAACACTCCAAATATATGGAGATTATAATAGAAGCACCTTATCTCAACCTGTGGAGTTTACTCCCTCTCTTTCGACACTAGGTCAAAATTGTCCCACTAAACGTAGGTTTCTCTTCGCTCCTTGCTTTTCGGGGGTCTGGAATTTGCTGATGAAATAAATATGTCTGATTTCCCACAAAAAAACTGGAAGATATGCAAGTGAAAGGCAACAAGTTGGAGGTAGAAGAAGCATCAAAGAGAGGTCTTCAAGTGAACGTAGAGAAGACAACAATCAGCATAAATCGAAGGAATCTGAAAGAAACAACCTCCTTTAAGTACCTACCTACCTACTTGAGTTGCATCGTTTCAACCACAGGCGGAACTGACGAGGATATCAAAGTGAGGATTGGGGAATCAAGGCAAGCTTCCATTACTCTCAACTTTGTGTGAAGACTAACAGCACTCCTCATCATGAAAATGAAAATAAGATCGGGATTTTCAACTCCAATGGGATGGATGGATCAGAGACTTGGCGCCGCGCCGCGTCACGAACGGCTCTTCGAACCAACTACAAACTTTCATCAACAGCTCTCTTCGCTCAATAATACTCAAGATCAAATGGCTCGCCAGAAAAGATCAGCAACAGGGATCTCTGGAAATGAACGAACCAACCCAGCGTGAACCAACGGTGCAACAAATATACAGGAAGAAATGCAGGTGGAGTGGCCATTCTCTGAGAAAACAAACCATCATCAAGTGATATCACGCTCTAGGCCATCACTCGAGTGGAACCCTACCAAATGGGCAGCGGCGAGTTGATGGTCAGTGCGAAGGTAGGGTAACATAGAGGAGGTGATGTGAGGGGAAGATGAAAGTATGTGGGAATATGCGCAAGGAGGTGAAATTGTTGGCAGAGAACCGAACACAATGAAGACTTGCGACTGAAGCCCCATGTTTCTCTAGGAACTAAGGGAAACAATAATAGAAAGTAATAAGCTTTAATCTTTGAAGTTTAAACAGAAGTAGCATTGCTTTTACAGTTTGTGGTCTCCAGCCCAACCCCTTACCTTCCTTTCTTTTGTCTGCTAGCAAACAATGCAAGGTTCCGGATTTCGTCGGGCTGGAATTGACACCAAAACATTTCAGTGAACTGGTGAGCATTGAACAGTTGAACAACTGACACGTAGGCGTAGGTTATAAATAACCAATAATCCACTGTATTCTTGCATTTTCAACAAGAAATGATTTCCACTCATTTGAAATGGGCTCCCATGTGACCGCCTACCTGTAAAAATTGCTCATCTCAAGTGCACAGTTAAATAAAAGTAAACGTAACTCTGTTTAGGTCTGTAATAAATATTACTTATATATATTTATTTCTGTAAACTGGACAGCCTCGTGTTTGCTAGTCACTCAGATGCTTTTCACTTGTCATGAAGAACGTATCTGAAGTGGAGTCAGTTATTAAGATATAGATTCATACAATGTGTTCTGATTCTACCCCTCATTGTACAACAAAAGAAAACTATAACGAGTCTGTGATTCCACGCATGTGGTCCGGCATCCGACCTCCGGCCTACGCACTCCTAAACCTCGCTAAGTTAGCAATAAGACTGGTAAAGAGCGAAGGCTGAGCACGCTACTACTATCAACCCCATCCCGTAGGAGAATAAACACCACTCAGTCTTCAAGCATCTAGCCTGAAGCTCTATGTTCCAGCATTCGGAACGTAAAGGAATTTACCCAGTTCAACTGAACTCAAACAGCCGAATCCTGACTAGTTAGCTATTTGAGAGAGTTGTTCTGATTAAAATATATGACCTGCTTAATACCATAGATAGCAATAAAGAAAGTAAGTACAACAGCGTGAGTAGTACATGAGTAGTAGCTGGACGCAATCCACATCAACCAGCAGTGCTAAACAGCCAGAAAGGAGTAATCTAAACACCAGGTCACCTTTTCACTTGCTTGCTGGCATGCTATAATACCTACCTATCAAGGGTACATGTATTATTGTAAACTGACTTGCGAAGATTCTAAGATAATATACACTTTTCGACAATGCCAAGCAATTTATTCCCAAAATAGCTGATAAAACTACGTGTCTGTTTTTATTAAAAAAAAACCAAAATTTGATCGTTTTGTGGAAATGTGTAATCATCGATGTTTCAAACCAAAGTCGAAAGGTTTGATCAATTCTGTTCAACTCCCAGTGGCATATACACTTGAGTTTAATTAAGCACAGAGCTCCTTTTAGCGCATTCCCTTTCGGCTCGGCACTATATTATTCCTACAGCACACATCAGACGAGTGTCTTCTCCAATTAACTTCTGCATCAATACAAAGCCAACCGGGTCCTTCGGTGGTTTTATTTTTACAGAGTGGGATTGCTATTCTCACACCAAACCTTCCCTCTTTGCCAGGCTTATTACCAGGTAAGCGAGGTTTCACAGTGCGTCGGTTGGTGGTTGAACCTCAGACCAGCTCAGTGGCTGGCGAGTATCCTACCTCTGCACCACCGACGCACATTTTCCACTAGTACTGAGAATTCAGTAGGACACAGTAGATGCCCTAGGAGATAAAATTATTATTTCAAATAGAGTGACATAACGGCAGAACGCAAGCGTATTTGATAGCTGAACTGTTTATCTGCAAAAATGAAATGTAATGCTGTCAAAATATAGAAATCTGACACTGAAATCCCAATTCTCAAATGTTATTTGTATTCTGCTTCTTTTGTCTGGACTTCGCCGATGATACATGTCTGATTTCTCACAAACTGGAAGATATGCAGGTGAAAAGCAACAAGTTGGAGATAGAAGAAGCATCAAAGATAGGCCTTCCTTCAGGTGAACATAGAGAAAACAGAGGTGATGAAGATTCCTGGCCAACACCACCAACAGCAACAAAAACAACAGACAACAATGAGCATAAATGGGAGAAATCTGAAAGACGTAACCTCCTTTACCTACCTACCTGGGAAGCATCGTTTCAACTACAGGCGGAACTGACGAGGATACCAAAGTGAGGATCGGGAAAGAAAAGCAAGCTTTCATTACTCTCAAGTGTGTGTGGAGGTCAACAGCACTCGGCATGAAAAATAGGATGCGGATTTTCAACTCCAATTTGAAGTCAGTGCTACTCAATATAAAGATCAGAGACTTGGTGCGTCACAAAGAGCACCTCAAACAAACTACAGACTTTCATTAACAGTTGTCTTCGCTCAGTACTCAAGATCAGATGACCGGCGAGAGAAGATCAGCAACAGGGATCTCTGGGAGCGAACCAACCAGGAACCGATTGTACAACAAATATGCAGGAATAAATGGAGGTGTATTGGCAATACTCTGAGAAGACAAATCATCAAGTGACATCACTAGACAAGCCATTGCTCGAGTGGAACCTGAACGGGAAGCGGCGAGATGGTCGTCAGTGCTTGGTTGACTTGGAGGAAGTCATGTGAAGAGGAGATCAAAGCGTGTGGGCAAACTTGGAGCCAGGTGCGCACGGCTGAAGCCCTATGTTCCTCTAGGAATTAAAGGAAACAATAATAATAATGTATCATGACCATGTTGGTTTCTCTCCTTAGCAAATTAATCCTTTGCTCCACTATTCAAAATTCTTGATAAGGATGCTAGTCGATATACTACTCACAAATTCTTGTCAGTACTACACTCTGCAATGGTATAATACTATCATAGCAAGTTGACGTGCGGAAAATATTGCCCACAACCATGTGCAAAATTACTTTTAAAAGGAGGTGGGATGACTTTGCCCTAATTTAAAAGCGAATTTATACCCTGTTATGTGTGCGTCGGTGGCACTGCGGTAGAATGATTGCCAACCACGCCTCAGGTGGTTCGGGGTTCCATCCCCGGCCACGGACGAACTCCCAAAACTCGCTAAGCCAGTAATAAGACTGGCAAAGATGGAAGGTTGGGCATGAGGCTAGCAACCTCATCCCGTAAGAAAATAAACACGACTGCTACTGAAACTCCAAGGCTCTCTGGCTTGAAGTAGCCCTGTGTTCCACTGGGAACGTAAAGGAACAAAAAATATCCCATTATAAAAAAATTAATTATCCAATTCCATGGTTTACAAGCACTTGAGAAGTAAAACACCTTCGAAATTGGTTATGTGATTCAACGATGGTTGTTAGTACCGCTGTTTGAAGTATTTTTTTAAATATTTGCTCACTAACTTGTTTTCAATCAGAAAACCATTGAACACCAAGGAGTACTGAACTCTTCAGCGGTACGCACCCCCTACCCAATAATCATGGATCAAATCCAGCACCTTCAAGTTAGAAGGTGAGCTTGTTTACCCACCATGCCACTGGGATAGAATCCAATGGCCCGTCAGTTTTAATTCCTGCCATTTCATGATAAATAGCAGGGCAGCAAACCAATGTCATTAGTGATTTTTATTCTGTATCGGAAAAAAAATATTAATCCTGATAACAGTTACAAAATGAAAGTAGACAATCATCTTACATTAAAAATCAATACTCGTTCAGATAACTAAAAGAAATTCATTGTAAAACGAAAGTCGAAAGCTCTTTCTCTGTGTCTCAACGAAACCTGAAGGTAAAAGAGGTATGTAGTCATTAAATATTTCGATCGCGCTATTCTTCCCCCCCCCCGCCACCCCGTTTACAGTCAGAGTAGTTGAATTACTCAACTCATATCATTTACATACACAATCGATACAAAGTTGTAGGCTGGTCGGTGTTTCATTCTCATATAAAAGTTAACGGATCATCCATCACTTGATTACAAAAATGTAACCTCATTTATTGATTAGATTAACACCTATAAAATGAGATAATATGACATACTTTTCAATGTATTAATTGCCCCCCCACACACACACCCAAAATAATATACTTCTTAATCAATAAAATGTTCCCTTTATTTTTTTCTCTGATTAACTCTTAATTCTGTTTTCCTTTTCACTCAATTTAGTCTACTGTGAGCACACATACGATCGATATAAGGAGGATGGACTCCGACTACTTGAAAAATATATGCCATACTTAAATCCAGAGACTGGTTTACGTAATCGAAGTAAGCAATTCATTAATTAATTGATTAATTGATTGATTGATTGATTGAAATTATTTCTATTTGATTATCGATTTCAATTTCTGTATTGTAATCTCCATGTCAGGTGTCATACAGCTGCTTCTGCTGTGCGTGTGTCAGTGCGTCAGTGTGTTGTTAGTAATGTGAATGTGTACATTTTCTGTTGCTGTCACTTTTCTATGCTAAGAATTTACTACTGAAAAAAAATAATCAACAATCAGTAGTATCATTAGTTGATGTGTGTAAATCTGTTAATATTGTGAGATATTATTTTGATGGAATTTTCTGTTTTTCATGTGTTGATAATGAGTCGTATGAGTGAGTATGTGGTGTTGCATAAAATACCGAGCATATTTGCTGTACATACCAAGGCACGTGCTCTAAAAGAAGACGTTCTCTCCCCCCCCCCACACACACACGCAAACACAACCAGGCAAACACATGTACACAAAGATCCACACAAGAAGAAACGTTTATCAGTTTTTGGAAAGAAAGAATATCCCTCCTAGGTGTGTATTTGTAATTTATACTATCACTTAATAGTGTAGTGATTTGTCGTCAAGTGAAAATATTGTAATCTCATGTGTGGATTATTTGTGAGTATAGTTGCACACGAGTGTGCGTGTGTGTGTGTGGGTGCATGAGTGCGTGCGTGCGTGTTTGTATGGATTAAAGTATTGATTATTTTTAAATCTTTTGCGTTACACCTTAGATCCAAACACATATATATGTATATATATATACTTCTCAAGGTAGTTGAGAATAAAATTTTTGCTTGAATTGTTTGTAAAACTTCAGTGAAAGTTAACGGAATATATATATATACACGTATACATTGGAGGTTTAAAATTATGATCGTGATCAATCATCTGGTAATGTTTGTGCACATTTTTAATTTGTAATTGACCTCTTTTTGCTAATATTTATTATTATTACTATTATTATGAGTAATGCTCACTCCTTCGGTTGATGTCAAGGTTTGCATAGTTGCAAGTGGTTATTAAGATATTTTAAGCAACTTTCTTGTATTTGTGAGCAGTCAGGTTTCTGTTGTTTCAACCGCCACCCCGACATAGAAAGTAACTGCTTCCATTAACTTAACAGTGGTCCATTCGGTAGAATAATAATAATAATCTTAAAAAGAATGGACACGGAACAAAGAGTACTCTTTTCGATAAATTCATCATCAGGTTCTACAATTATATATACATTATAGTGAATGAATGAATTAGTCTTATGAACGACATTAATGTTTAAATAACATCAAATCAGTAATATTGATAAATTACAGCTGAACAGCATCAACATCAAATAAGCTGAATGTCAGAAAAATTAGGAAAGATAATATTGCAAATTTATGAATTTAGAGTCTCTACTGAGGGCCAGGGCAGTAGTGGTAGCTGAACTTGCTCCTTATTCACACAGAACACTGGTTGTTTGAGGCGAATCGCGATAGCCTGTGCTGTTTGGAGCATGCGGTGCTTCGATGATTTTGGCAATTTATTTGGTCGGCGCCTGGTAGATGATAGAGAAAGACTCTTCCACACTGGCTTTGTGGCCGGTTTGCACCAGATGATCCAATATCGAACTGTTGATGGTTTTCACTACACCTTTACTTAGCCATAGTGAGAGATGTTCTCGAGCAAGCACGAAAAATCAAGTTCCTAGAGCAACGGCCAATATAACTCGCTCCGCCACCAGCGCAATTGAATTGGTAGATACAATTAGAAGTGGCTAGTCTAGGTACTGCATCTTTCAGTCAAAGAATCAGCATCGGTCGTGTAGAGAATAAGAGGTGTAGTTCGCCAGCATTAAAAGTTCTTTGAACTGATTTCCTTAATTTCCTCTTAATTATTTCACCTGGTATATCGCTCTTGAATTACAGCTATATATAAAGTGGCTTCTTGTTTACAGACAGTGAGTAGTCTTTTTCCGCCTTCTTTGTCATACGTTTCTTGATAAATTTGTCAGCATAACCATTTTTGATCAAAGTATCATATACAATGCTTAATTTATCTCCAATTACTTCCTCTAAACATATAGCTCTAACTCTGTGGCTGAGGGTCTTCACTAAATTTCTATTGTAATTGATGGGAACGAAGCTGTGAAAGTGTGTATATTGTCCCGTCCAAGTACTTTTTCTATGCAAATTTCTTTTTATGCTACCGTTAGTAAGGAAGGCAATTCTGTTTTGGGATTCCTCTTCGCATGTGAATTTCATAGACAAATGTACTTCATTAAATTCAGTAATTATTGTACTCCTTTCAGAGCCATTATCATAAAGAATAAGGGTATCGTCCATATATCGGCAATAAAATGAGAGCTTACTGATAAGGTTGTTGGTAGGTTCATTTTCTAGCTTACTTAGAAAGAAATCAGCCAGAATGGGACACAATGGGGAGCCCATCGCCACCCCGTCCACTTACCTGTAAAGCGTGCTGTCAAATTTGAAGTTTACATTCATGGTACATCTTAATATCAATTATTTTAGGATTTCAATATGGATTCCAATGTTTATTGACTGCTTGTCCACTTGTTCACATATATAATTAACTGTTTCTATTAGAAGTACATTTGTGAATAACGATGTTATGTCCAGAGATATCATGGTTTTGTCCTTGATATTAATATCTTTCATTTTGTCTACGAATTCAAATACATTTTTGACGCTATATTTCACTATCTTCTCATGAAATGGTTTGAGAATATTTACTAACCATCTAGCTAGAGCATGGTAGGGCGAATTTTGCATATCAAGTAGTGGTCTTAACTGTACCCCTGGTTTATGCACTTTAGGTAGGCCATACAATCTTGGCGTATACGTGCCCATTGGTCTGATTTCTTCATATAAACTTTCAGAAATTGTCTGCCACTCCCTTAGTTTCTTCAAACATCTAGTCAATTCATTCTCTATTTTGTTATTAAAATCTTTCTTCCCCTCAAGTTTTTGAAACTTCTGTGTGTCCTTTAATATATCCTTCATCTTTTTAATAATAACAATTTGCTGCATTCCAAAAACAGTACTTGTGATACAGAATGGAATTTTCAGCATTAATCACAATATTGCATTTAATTTCCTCAAATTACAAATAAAATTAATCACACAGAAAATTTTCCACATTTACAATAGGGGTAATGTCAAAAAACATGCAGCATATAAAGTGGAAATAATAATATTGATAACAGCTAAGGTAATAATAATAATAATACAAGTGAAAATTGCCGTCGGCTTGTTTCACACAGTATTGCCGATGCGGTATACAAATCCTTGCATGATTAAAAATATTGAATATGATGTTCTCTTTACATGATATGGTGAGGGGAAAAACAAAGATTACAGCAGTCATAAAGATAAGTGGGTATTTGCAATTATGAAAGTAAAAAACAAAGAAGCAACAGGACCATAAATATAATAGAAATAATAAAAGTAAAACTTGAAAGTATATAAGGATGGATGGAGGAGATTGTTTATTTACTAGATGAAAAAAGGTTAGTCAATTCTTGCCTGACGCTATTTTCATCACATAAAATACGTGCCAAGTATGGTATCATAGAATTTTGATACTTAGACGTGCGAGCATACAGTTTTCTGAAGTTACTTCTTGTTCTATCTGAAGAGACACAGCAAGGTGAAAGCTGACGGTAAAGTGGATGCTCCAAGTAAGACAAAATCCCTTTAGCAAATTTACTGCACGAAGTCAAGTGCCTATCGACAACGACGTTAACTATGTAGTCCACTGGGATACCACTCAACCTACTGACAGTCTTCAACATGCTACGAATTGTGACAAAGTCCTTTTTAAGCAAACCAGGAGAGAATAAGGGTGAACAATGAAGAAGAATACGTAGGATGCAAGAGATTATGAACTGTAAGAGGAGGGGTTGAGTTATACCCTAGTGCCTTAACTTCTTAATGTAAAATGTCAGGTAGAATATTTTACTGGAGATCGCTAAGACATGGGAAGACCAGGAGAGATCAGAAGAGAGAATAAGTCCAAGATACTTAATTTCCGATTTAATTCCTATATAACTTCAATAAAGCTCCTGGAAGTGAGCAATAAACAGATCTTTCCGTGAATTGATGCTATTTATAGAAGTATCGGGAGTCAGAAAGCAGGAGGATCTGTTTCATCCCACCTAGGAATTGTAGCACTGGTGAAATCTCCCTTGAAATGTTTCAAATTCCGAAAAACTGGAATTAAGTGCTGAAAAGTGAAAACCATTTATAGAAAAATTCGATGAATTCTTACATCGAAGTGTGTAACTTGACAATGACTTTTAAATGAGAGGTCATTGTTTATAAAGTCCTTTTTGAGGACTCTTAATCATGGATGCCGTTAAATAGAGGTGACATCATAATGCTGAATAGCAAAATTAAGATTCTCATTGTAACAACAGAAGACAAGGGCCAGGCAACAGTTCGTTTATTGACAAAATCAAAAGATATTTGTCGATTTTTACGTACATTATTTTCGTTGCTGTTAGCAGAGAAACAACGTCTTCTGATTGGTTGTTTTCTCCCTGAAGGTTATTCTGTTATCTCTTTGCGGCCGTTCCTCGAAAAATTAAGCCATATATCTGTGAATTATATTTTCACACTTTAACTCCGCTGTGATTGGCTGGTGATGATTTTCCCAAGGTTAAGCTTTCTTATTGTTTTTCTCATGACCCTGATTCGGGACGTGAACAATCACGTAAATTGTTGTCTACAATTTTCGACTTGCAGCCAGCTGTCACCATACCACTGACACATTAGTAGGATGGTGACGTGTACACTCCACATTCTGGTAGTCTTGGGTGCAATCCATTTGCTGGGTCATCAGTTTATAGTGTTCGTAAATATACTCCCTCGCATTCCCTGTAGAACTTGGGGCCTAGTACTCTAATCTTCAAACGTTTCACTGGTATCTGTGTTGTTTTTACAGGGTGAGTGTACTAGCACCGTGCCTGACCTTTTCTCTTTCCCGAGCTTACTGCCGGCT